GAAATTTTCAATGAAATATTTAATATACCAATCCCCCACCCCTTTCTTCTTTTCTTTCTCTTCCTTACGTTTTGGGGAACGAGAAAGAGAAAGGAAATTTTCAAGGGAATCATTTAATATACAATACCCCCCCCCCTCTTTCTTTCTTTATTCTTTGTCCGTTTTTGGGGAGCGAGAAAGAAGAATTTCCAATGAATTATTTAATATACCAATATCCCCCCCCTCTTTCTTTTCTTTCCACTTTCGTCCGTTTTTTGGGATCTAAAAAGAGAAAAGGAAATTTTCAAAGAATCATTTAATATACTATTACCTTTCTTCTTTTCTTTACTCTTCCGTTCGTTTTTGGGAGCGAGAAAGAAGAAATTTCCAATAAATTATTTAATATACCAATACCCCCCCCCCCCTCTTTCTTTACTTTCCACTTCCGTCCGTTTTTTGGGGAGCGAGAAAGAGGAAGTCACTCCTGGACTTATTTCAACTGGCGTGAAGTGTAACTTAGACTGACATTTAAAGGTCGACCTCACTGACGCGTTGTCTGACCAGCAGTGAAATGTTTTCTTTGGTGGGGGTCGTTTGTGGGGAAGAGGAAGAGGAAGTGGGTGAAGAAGGGGAAGAGGGGAGTATGTGGGGATAGAGGGAGGAAGACAAGATATGTGGGGATAGAAGGGAGGAAGAGGAAGATGGAGGAGGATGCATGTGGGTGAAGAAGGAAAAAAGAAGAAGTTTGCGGAGAAGAAAGGGGAAGAGAAGAAAAAAGGAAAAGAAATACGAGAAAAAATTGTAAAAGGAGGAGGAGAAGAAGATAAGAAGATGGAAAGACGCTCCTCCTTCTTGGGAGCGAGAAGGAATCCGACGATCTCCTCCTCGAGGTGCTGCGGCGCCATCACACGCTTGGGGGGGGGGGTGAAGGAAGGTATTTAATTTTCGTGTGAATGACATATTTGGTGAAGATCTATATCGTTGGTATTTATATTTTCGTGTGAATGACCCGTCGGCGACCGGACAGACGAAGCAACATCGCACCTTAGCAACTACAACAACAACAACAACAAAGACACTGCAACGCCACGAGCAAATAAAAGCCAGCAGCGGGATACTCCCCCACCCCTACTACCACCACCCCCTGCCGAGAATCACGTGACCCTCTACGCCCCTGCAGTGTCCGGTGTCCTCCTCGTGCCCCGACCTCGGCCGCCCGCGTATCTCGCTCCCACGCTGCGGATCCGCATCAGCCCGTGACCAGCCTTTAAATACGTCCGGCCCGAGTGATCTCTGCTTGGGCTTTACGAGTCTGGGAAGGGAACCGCAAGATAGCGACACATGTGCTCCGCGTGTCCCCCTCTGCCCCTCGCACCCCGCCCTCTGCCCCGGGGGATGTCCGCTGCCCGGCGTTTGTCCCCTGCTCCGCCCCCTTGGCCCCGCCCCCTGCCCGACTCACTGTCTTTGTTCCCTGTTCACGCCTCCTCCCTCTTGCCTCGCCCCCTACCCTCTGTCCCTCCCTCTTGCCCCTACCCTCTGTCCCCCCTTGCCCCTGCCCCTGTCCACGCCTCCTTCTCGTCTTCTCTGCTATTTTCCTTTCTTCCCCCTTCCAATTTCTTTGGAGCGTCGTCGAGATCACCTGGCGATTCTCTCTCTCTCTTCCTCGCTCTCTCTCTCTCTCTCTCTCTCTCTCTCTCTCTCTCTTCTCTCTCTCTCTCTCTCTCTCTCTCTCTCTCTCTCTCCTCTCTCTCTCTCTCTCTCTCTCTCTCTCTCTCTCTCTCTCTCTCTCTCTCTCTCTCTCTCTCTCTCTCTCTCTCTCTCTCCTCTCTCTTCTCTCTCTCTCTCTCTCTCTCTCCCTCTCTCTCTCTCTCTCTCTCTCTCTCTCTCTCTCTCTCTCTCTCTCTCTCTCTCTCTCTCTCTCTCTCTCTCTCTCTCTCTCTCTCTCTCTCTCTCTCTCTCTCCCTCTCTCTCTCTCTCTCTCTCTCTCTCTCTCTCTCTCTCCCTCTCTCTCTCTCTCTCTTCTCTCCTCCTCTCTCTCTCTCTCTCTCTCTCTCTCTCTCTCTCTCTCTCTCTCTCTCTCTCTCTCTCTCTCTCTCTTCTCTCTCTCTCTCTCTCTCTCTCTCTCTCTCTCTCTCTCTCTCTCTCTCTCTCTCTCTCTCCTCCCTCTCCCTCTCCCTCTCTCTCTCTCTCTCTCTCTTCTCTCTCTCTCTCTCTCCTCTTCTCTCTCTTGTTTACGATGCCTTCTCAGCCTCCCAGTGACTTCTGCTTCATTATCATCGCCGTGACGTCATTTCCCTTTAAATCCAACACAATCAAGGCTCCAAAACGCCGGACACATTGTTTATTCTATAAATTAGTTGTTAATTATTCCTGTATTCAGTCGCGCCTACACGCTGTGAGGAGCTTGTTGTTGCTGACCAGTTGATAGGCCTAGCTCGACCCCTCTTCGCCCCTTCCCCCGTGCTTTTAGGCCTGACGCCCCCCCCCCCCCTCGCCTCACGCCGCCCGCATGCACCCGCCCACGCACGCGAGGCCTATCGATCGTGACGTCATTACCTTGCCTTACGTTCGTTACACAAACATCTTGGTCCGGTCCGTAAGTTCTTCAGGAATCTGTCAGAACACAGCGCACGCGCGCGCGCGCACACACACACTCAACACACACACACACACACACACACACACACACACACACACACACACACACACACACACACACACACACACACATACGTACATGCATATATATGTCTATATATATATATATATATATATATATATATATATATATATATATATATATAAATATATATATATATGTGTGGTGTGTGTGTGTGTGGTGTGTGTGTGTGTGTGTGTGTGTTGTGTATGTATGTATGTAAATGTATGTATATACATGTAAATATATGTATATGTGTGTGCGTATGTGTTAATATGCATATTCATACACACACATATATAAATATGGATATACACCCACACATATATCCATATATATTTCATTTGAAGCCGTTGTCAAGTTCATGGATTACGCTGTTAATTGCCGTGTTCAATCCCATGTCATCGCCACTGTTGCCACATGTCTGTTTCATGGCAATGATGCTTTTCCTTTCAGCGATATCCGCGCGATGATTATGATTATCATTTAATTAGCAAATGGTCATTGTTGTTATTGTTTTTAGAATTATCAGTGATGTTGTTTTTGTTGTGAATGGCGTCATTGTTGGTGTGTTTTTATTTGTTGTTGGTTTTTGTTTTTATTACTGTTAGTGTTGTTGTTATTGTTATTATGATAATGATTCTTGTTATTATTGTTATTAGTAGTAGTACCATTGTCATTAGTATTGTTGTGATTATCATTATCATCATTATTTGTGATTATCATTATCATCATTATTATTGTTATTGTTATTATTATTATCATCATCATTATTATTATTATTATTATTATTATTATTATTATTATTATTATTATAAATTATTATCATAATTATTATCATTATCATTATCATTATCATTATTAACATTATTATTGTTATTATTTTATTATTATTATTGTTGTTTGTTAGAATTATTATCATTATCATCATCATAAGTATTATTAGAGTCATTTATTTATATGTTTCAGAGAAAAGAAAAAAATGTTCGAGGATGAGGAGAGATGAAAAGTAATAATCCTTCTCGTTTTCTCTTTTTCTTTATTTAATCGGGTTTCTGCTTCGTTCTCTTTGCCTTTCTCTTAATTCAATTGCCGTCGAGGGTAATTATTGTTAATGTCATTAAGAGTGGAAGAGCTGAAAGAAAAGCTAATTTGAAGAGAGAAAGAGAAAAGGAAAGGGAGAAAGAGGGAGAGGGAGAGAGGGGAGAGGGGGGAGAAGTGGTGAGGGAGGGAGGAAGGGAAGGGAGGGAAGGAGGAGGAAAGGAGGAGGAGAGAAGGGAGAAAAGGAGGGGGAGATGGAGGGGAAGGGGGGGGGGAAGGGAGAGAGAGAGAGAGAGAGAGAGAGGGAGAGGAGAGAGAGAGAGAGAGAGAGAGAGAGAGAGGGAGAGGAGAGAGAGAGAGAGAGAGAGAGAGAGAGACCCTGGTTGGCCGTGAGTTTCGAGCCGAGTATAAACGTGAAGACTCCTTGCGCCTCATCTCTTAAACGCTGCCAGAGTTGCCTTGACTGGACTAATCTCCATATTTTCTTTTTTTCTCTCTTGCAGAATGATGGCGGCCGTGTGAGGAGCGAGTCATTCCAATCATTCCATTATCTCCAGCTTCTGTGATGGATAATCTGTGAACAAGCCCCGAAGGAAAGGAAAAACAAAAACAAAAGACGATCGCAGTGAAGGAATCGGAATCGCCAAAACGTTGATTCGTGTGTTCTCCGTGTCCCTTATTGTGTGGATTCGAAACCTTTGACAAATATGACACAAGGGATTCAATTTCGGTGTTTTATTGATCTATTCTGTTGGACGATAAGTGCAAAAACCATGTCCGGAATTAAAGGAAAGTCAATTGCCTGTTTATGAAGTGCGCGCAGAAATGCACAGTGGGAGATAACACACAAGTGAGAAAAACAAAACCAATAATTGACCAATAATTGCAAAAGCTAAAATAAAGTATGGATACTGGAGAGGCCATTGTATAGACGCCACTTTTCCCCGATTTCATAAAATTTAGATCAGATTCCCTCGCTCTCCTTCCGAGCGAGAGAGAGAGAGGGTTCTAAGCCGAACGTCTCGGGAGATTACAAAGTTGTTTTCTTAGTTCTCCCGAGCGCTACCGGGAGTTCGTGGAAGACGCGTCAGCCTCCTCTCGCGGTACTTTGCGCACTGAGGGCCGCTGGCGAAGGAAACCCGAGGAAAAGTGCAAAGATCTAAGCTACTTCTATTGCCCGGTGATCTGTGAATTTCAGTGTGGTAGAAAGTGAAAAAATATATATATTTAAAAAGGGAGAAAACAACCAGAACTGTCTAGATATTTTTTGTTTTCTAAAGTGATACGAGACGTAAATTCCCGAAAGCTCCGCCCCCCCACC